TGAGAGAAACTGTTTTGAACTTATAAGAAATTACTTAGTATTTCCTTAAAGAAAGCTCTGGGGAAAATCCCCTGTAGCTCTGATTCCATAGGCTGGGCAGGATGCCCGAGGTCCCACCGATGTCATAAAAACCAGTGAAACGAGAGAAAGAATCACAAAGTTGCAGAGAGTTAGGCACAGAAGCTGAACAGGGAACTCTACCTGGGCTGACGAGATAAAGCGTGTCTGGAGCACAGATCCTCATAGGAAGATGGGAAACTGGCTGGTGAACCATTGGTTTCCAGCTCTGGTGATCGTAAGTGCTTCTTTACACACAATCAGCTAGGTATTCTTTGTGGACCAGGATTATATGAAGAATGTGTTTTAAAAAAAGATGTCTTGTATGAGCTGGTCATGGAGAAATAGCAGATACTGCTAATTTTTCATGGTTTGCAAGATTTACTGAATAAAATAGTTTTATGAAGGTATAAAAGGTTAGGTCTTGCCTGATTCATGGCACCATTAAGCATGTTTTTCATTTTAATCATGGGACTTTAGTAGCTAAGCAGGTACTTAAGCTCAGTCCTGAATCACTGCTTAACAAACTTCCATGTTTGAGGTCTTCTCTAAAAAAGGGATAAATAGCTTGGATGTTTAGACATGATCTGAATCCTTGAAACAGGGAGGAAAGGGCAACGTCATCCATGGTGAAATTTCTTTGACTTACATCAGGGATAAATTTGGTCTGTGGTCTTTTGGATTTAGATTAAAAACAGGAATTTGTCTTTATATTGAAACTATGTGATGAAAATTGATTATACTTATTACATAGTCATAATATAATTCCCAATTTTTACCTTGTTTTCTGTCAGGGAAGCTTAAGTAATCAGACAATGAATTTCTCAGATTCTTTTAAATTAAAAAATAAGCAAATCTCTTGATTTCTATAATATGAACAAATAGCAAATAGAATTGAGCAAATACAGTACAAGTTCTGTTAACCGGTATCTTACAAGCCGACATGCTCTACTAACCGGCATGCCGACTTGAAAGATAAAGTGAAACTGGAAGTGCCCACCATGGCACTTCTGGTTTCTCCAAGCCCCCACGGCCCAGGGGCATAACAGGCTGTGCGGGGCCCGCCTCCCTGTCCCATGGGGCCTGCAAGGCCCGCGGGAGGGGCTGTGATGTGGCGGGAGGGGTGGTGATGCTGTGGGGGGGTGGAGGGACACCCCAAATGCAGTGGGAGAAGCAGCGACCGGGGCCACTCAATTAACCAGCATATTTTGTTATCTGGCATTCCCCAT